CGTGCTTTTTTTTAGAGACTTTCTGAAAGGAGATTTCACAGTCTCCCACAGAAATACAATCGGATTTTTAACAACCCTCATTGTAGAAAAGGTCATTGTAATATCTAACCAGAGTCCCAATTGCTATAATAAAAGGTCATGTCCTCTTTTTCAGCTCTTGTTAAAGATGGTGAAGAGTTGGTTACTAGCTTCATCATAAAGAATGGTCACTGAGCACCCACCCAGACCATAGGCCTCTTTTCTCCTCATAACAGCGCTTTATGTATTCAAGATCACCAGGAAGTCACTTTACAGCTCTCTTTTCTCCAGGCCAAATGAACCCATAAACATTTCCTCTCCAGGGTCCCAGTTTCCAAGCTCTCGATTAATCTTTGCAGCCCTCCCTGCAGATGTTCTGTGTCCCTTCCAGCAGTGAGCACATTCCTCAGTAGTTTCTAATTTGGAATACAAGAGAGTTTGCAGTCGGTTCTCTGCATTGTTTGTGGGGTTTGGGGGCTTTTTTTTTAATACCTGTAGATCGTACACAGTAATTTTTGCTGCCACCTGGTGAGTCCTCCTAAGCTTTGCCCGAAGCTTTTGTGACTCTGGGACAGAAGAAAATAGGGAAGAAGAAAACAGGAAAGAGATTTGTAACACATTGATATGTAAAGCTTCGTTTATGAAACAAAGTTGGGAAAGTATCCTGTGCCCACAAAGAGACAGAATAGCCTGCTCAGTTAGGGTTTTTGTTCAAAGTAACTTTGAGCAAACAAACGAGACACACTGTACTTGAAAGACTGGCTAGGTATAATCATATGTGTAAATGTAAATGAAAAGAGAATCCTGGCAGCAGGGGTTCTAAAATCAACCTAAGACTGTGGTTTCTTTGATATTTCTCTTCTTGCAGTTGGAGGCCAGGCAAGCAATCAATAAATAGCTGTTCGTGATGATTGGCAAGGTTCTCTGGGAAGTTATAGAGATATTGCAGCTTTTGAAGAGTTTAAGGCAGTTAGGGAGAACAAAGCACCTCACTGACATTTGGAAAATTAACAATCAAAAGTACAACCCCGAAATGAGATCTAGGAAGGACAAGTGATACCAGGAGTTCAGAAGACCACGGGGCAGCAGCACTGGCTGGATTGGCTAGGACAGATTCACCTTAATGGAAGAGAAGGACCTGGCACTGGGTACTGTGATTGATGGGTAGATGGAGAGGGCTAAGGTCTAGATGCCTAGGGGAGTTGGAGGAGTATATATTACACTAACCACTACATATGGCCTCTTGTTAGCAGGCATCCATCTAACAGAGATACCAATTACAATTTCACTTGGGATGAATGATAATGCAATAAAGGGCTGAAAGCCTGTGCACAGGAATGGTCATGGGAAAAGCTGCCAGTCCCTGGGAAGTGATTGCACCTTGCAGTCCTGTTGCTGGAGCAATTCTCCCAGAAAAGAGGGGCAGAAACTTCCAAGGTTCTTTAGGAGAAATGAGTGCATGCTTGTGTGCACATGTGTATGTGATGATCCTGCAGGGGCATTGCTCAACTGCACGTGTGCTTACACATACACACCCCTTTCTCCCTTCTCTCATGAAGCCAGAGTAAAAAAATCTAGAACTAAACTTTGGGACTAGTACTGGACAGATGAAGGAGAATCACTTCAACTTTTGTAAATACACAGAAATCCTTACAAAGAAAACCACTGTATACCCTTGGAAAGAAAGATCAGAAAACAGCGGGATGGGGGTATGGGTGGGAAGAGGAAAAAGAATGAGGTGAAGTATAAGCAGATGGATGGAAAAGAGAAGAGTAAAACAGAAAAGAAAGAAGCCCAGTGGCCCAACTGCAGAGGAATGCGACCTGTAGGTAAGGATGTCTGGTTCCATCCCCCGAGGTGTAAAATGTGGCTTTGAGGACTTGTATATACGTCTGTGGCTGCACTTGAAATAGCCAGATCCCATCACTACCCTGTCCTTACCACCTGTAGATAGGAAATGACAGAGAATATGGGCCATGTGTTAATTCATCTATGCATCCTCATTGCTGCTCCTCAATAAATGTTGAGTTAGTGAAGTATTATAAGCTGAACTTCGTAATTCCTAGGACAAACGGTTCTGTAAAATAGTTACCTCTTTGCTCACCTCTCCATAGACATCCCTTTCCTCTGCCACTTAGCTTATAGGTCATGCTGTCCCAGTGTTGAGGTGAGCGTTAGGGGAACCAGTGCTCGCCACAGAGGTTTCTGTCTTTTCTTTCCCTACCTTGTCTCTGATGTTCCTCTATTCATTTTTAAAATCATATAATTTAGTATTTTATTCCTTTAAGTCAAATGGATTCTACAAATGTTCCTGAGAGGAAATACACTGAGCCATATCAAACATTGATACTTGGGTCTGCAGGCAGGCAAAGGGTCATTCCTAAAGCAGGATATATATCTGGAGGTTACCTGGTTACCTAGTAGGTAGGGAGTGGAAACATAAAAGACAAAGTGGCAGCCGGACGCTGTGGCTCACACCTGTAATCCCAGCACTTTTGGAGGCCGAGGTGGGTAGATCACAAGATCAGGAGTGTGAGACCGGCCTGGCCAACATGGTGAAACCCCATCTATACTAAAAATACAAAAATTAGATGAGCATGGTGGCATGTGCCTGTAATGCTAGCACTTTGGGAGGCTGAGGCAGGTGGATCACAAGGTCAGTAGTTCAAGACCAGCCTGGCCAACATGGCGAAAACCCGCCTCTACTAAAAATACAAACATTATCCAGACATGGTTGTGGGCACCTTTAATACCAGATACTCGGAGGGGGCTGAGGCAGGAGAATCTCTTGAAGCCACAAGGTGGTGATTGCCATGGGCTGAGATCATGCCACTGCACTCATCCTGTGTGACAAGAATGAAACTCCATCTAAAAAAATAAAAAATAAAAAGACAAAATGGCAATCCAGGGGAACAAAGATAACTTGTTCCTGCTGCTTGGTTTTTTGTCTTAGCCGAAATCCATTTCCAGCCCAGGTGGTTTGCCCTGGTCATCCTCCCGGCTTCTGGTCTTCCTTATTTTAGTACCTGGAAAACTGAGATGTCTTTGTCTCTACTTCGTCAAATCAGCAACAAAGCAGCTGCGTTCTGCACACTGCCAGGCTGTTTCTCTGCATGTGCTCATTTGCTGAGCAGGTGTGTCCTCCCCAGATACACCTTTTAAGGTGAGAGTGTCATCAGTCAACAGTGCCCAAGGAACTGGGGGAAGAGAAGGGAAAATGCTGGTTGGTTTCAATCCAAAGTTCCCTCACTGCTTCCCATACTCTGGCATGATGCATTTTCTGTGTTCTGTATCCTATGTCTGCTCTGGGAATGATTATTCCCTCCAAGGCACTTAATTGAGTAGAGGGAAGATGGGAGCTTAAGAATGATAGTTGCCCTCCTTCTTCCCCACATGACACAGGCACATGTGGAAATTGAGGTTGACATTGATCATCACAGCCATGGTTCCGGGTGGTTGGAGCACTAGGCCCCATCCTTGTCTCTCTCAGATTTGAATCATCATGAAGCTGGAACGGAAGTCTAAATCACACCCGATTTCTCAGCAGCCACCAGGCTGTTATGGTTATTAAATGTATTTGATAAACCTCTGACCTTTCAGACGCTGTTCTTTTTTAATTTTCTGATGGTTGTGTTCTCCCTTGTGAATTACTTTTATGTGTTTATTGCCCTATTACTGAACTAGTTCTGCTTGATTTCCTTGTTCACCCTTTGATTTGGTAGCACCTTATTTTACAGTCCACTAACTTTGTTGAAAATAAATTCACTTTCCTTGTGTGGTTAGTTTACTCATTTGATAACATAAGTACCATATTAGGGTGCGGTGAATATATAGTAAGTGCTGCACAATTACAAGGTAAATATATGATGGGTTTATATTATGGTCTAAGCCCAACACGGGGTGACAGAGTAATTACTTTTGGACCCATTAAGTGTACTTGCCACATAATCTGTAGGAAGATTAACTATGTAGTTAGCAATTGCCACCTTCCATTTCCACACACCTTCTAAGATCACACCTCTTTTAGGATTACGTTATCTCACATAAATCTCATATGCTGTATTGCAGGAGGCACTATGGATCTGCTACAGGAATAACCATACCCAATGCACATCTAGAAGAAAGGGTGAAAAGCAGCTACAGCACATCTTGGGGGGTGGGGAGGCACCCACATTCTAAATTCAAACTAACGCTTTTATTTTTGCTTTGCCCATGCATTCAATAGGATGGAGTAGGAGAGGTATGGGAGAAACAGCATGTGCCGTCTTAGCGACCAGTCCTCTTCCACAATCAGTGATTAGAGTCTAGCATTTGATTGGTGTCAGAAAACATTTACCATGGACATAACAGCACCTGGGACCAAGACCTTCATATCCCACAATAAAATTTTCTCATAACGACTGTGTGCCCTAAACTGATGTTGCCAGTGTACTCTTAATCTGAATGATTTGTGCCAAAGCTAACATTCATATTTGTGAACTCTGGTCTTTCTCTCAACTCATAGACTGCGTTACCTCCTTGCCCCGGACTGCTCTCTGCAAACGCATGTGCCCCAGGTTTCATAAAAGCAGAGAAGATCACCCATATTTTATCATTGTGTGTGGGTCTGCCCTCGCTCTGGTAAAAGTAAAATGTAAAAAGCATTCTGCAGATAAACATGATGCCCTAAAATGTTAAAGAGGTGTTTGCTCTTACTAGAAAAATTTTTTTTCTTTGCAAAATTGACTCTCTTCAAGAGTCTATTACATGCTAAGCTACCTTAATGCGGTTAAGATGTTTGCCTAGCATCCCTTTGATTGATACAAGTCATTCTAGAAACACGATTATTGTGTGAAAGGGAGTACAACTTGAGTTCACTGTACATACGTCATTTCTCTGAGCAGTAGCTCCAAAACTCCAAGAGCATTTCCTTTTGTATCCCCGAGTGGGTCTTTGGCTTTGTGCCCATGCTGGTCACTGACCATTTCTCCTGTGTCTTTCAGGCATTGAGAGTGCCAGCGACATTGCTTTGTACTCGGGCTTGGGCGCTGCCGTGGTGGCCGTTGCAGTCCTGGTCATCGGCGTCACCCTTTATAGACGGAGCCAGAGTGACTATGGTGTGGACGTCATTGACTCGTCTGCATTGACAGGTGGCTTCCAGACCTTCAACTTCAAAACAGTCCGTCAAGGTCAGAGGCGTAGGTCCCTCCACACCTCGTCCTCATTACCACAGACTGCGCTCACACTGGACCCCAGCCTTCTCCTGGGCCCGGTGTGAAGGTAGCTCTTGGCACTGGGAGCCGCTACCAAATTGTCTTCCTACACAAACAGACCAGGCTGGGCGAAGTGGTCTCCTTAGGTCCTTATCTGTCACAAGGACACAAGGATCTCAGTTTATTATCAGCAACATTTTCAGTGAGGCATTTCCGTTTTTGATGTATGGTGAGCCTAATGAGGTATTTTATTTCAAATGATCCTTCTTTTTAAAAAGTCCCTTTGAGGATGTATATTTAATTTAGTTAACTAAAGTATTGATTATTTAAGACTGAGGACTAACACCTATATCACAACCTCCCAGTTATATTTATTATCCTATTTATGAAGTGGAGTGATTTTTGTTATTTCTATTTTAAATAAGTAAACAGACTTTAAGAGAATAGATGATGGGTCAGCTAGCCAGGGGAAAAAAAATGAAATTCCAGCCTAAATGATTCTCAGCTGTGGCCAAGTCCAAGCAATCTTTAGTTGTGGGGGAAGGAAAATCTATCATGTCAAACTGTAGCAATACTCATTTTCAAAACAGAGTCATTTAATTCTCTTATAGGAACCAAATCTATTCCTTATTGCCAGGTGGGGATGAAACATACACAGCTTTCATTTTGGAAAAAAAAATGAAACTGTTCCTCTTCAGAGGATGAAGTTTTCTACTTTGACCCTCATCGTCAATAGCATCACCTTTATTTCTGTTGATTGTGCATCAGTGGTGCCTGTAGCTCGGAACCAGGAGTCTCAGTGCAAGGCAGTGATTGAGTAGACAGGCTTCCGAAGTGGAAACACAGGCAGGCTGGAAAACATTGCGAGATGGCCAGAGAGATGAGTACTTCCCTCTTGCCATTTACTTCTGGGGACCTCAGAGTTAGACCTCAGAAGGGACACATCCCCTGCTTTTGGACATACAGTTTAGTATATGTAGTTAATTGAAAATAAATCCAAATATAGAACTGAATTTTTTTAAGTGGTGCTACCCAAGCTGGAGTGCAGTGGTGTAATCAGAGCTCATTGTAGCCTCTAACCAATGAGTTTAAGTGATCCTCCCACCTCAGCCTCCTGAGTAGCTAGGACTGCAGGCACCTGCCCCCACACCAAGTTTTTTTTAATTTTTATTTTTTTTTATATATGGACGGGGGTCTCACTATGTTGTGCAGGCTGGTGTCAAACTCCTGTCCTCAAGCAGTCCTCACACCTCAGCCTCTGAAAGTGCTGGGATTATAGGAATGAGCCACTCTGTCTGGACAAGAACTGATTTTTATGCTACATAAAAACTAGAAACATTTTCATCAAATAATAAAATACCAATATCTTAGACCATAACATTTGAAAACAGGAGCTATATTAGTGTGAGTGACAGTTTTGTGCATAAGTCCACCAGCTTTGAAGTTAGATTTTAGTCTAAAACTGCCATCAATTAGTCCATTATCCTCCTGAGTCTCAATTTTTACAGCTATAAAATGGGGTTAGTAACATTCACCTCAAAGTGTTCTTGTGAGGATGAAATTACCTGAAATAACATGGGTAAGCCCTTGGCATATGGAAAGTGCTCACAAATGCAGTGAAGAGAGTTCTAGAAGCTGGTTTCTTCCTCTCACCCTAGGACAGGATTCCAGTGGTTCCATGGAACACCAGGCAGCAGGTGAGAGGGGTGGATCCCTGGCTGACACTTGTCTGGGAAGTGCTGACTTGCTTACACTCAAAGACAACTTATGTGCATTGTGAATCTCTAACATAATATGTAGTCTTACCAAACTTATCTGACCGTTCTGTTTTATTTTTATTTTTGGCCAATATTATATCACAAAACTAATGATATAAACAAAAATCCTTTGGGAAGTGCAACTTGCCCTGTATTTACTATGGTGATCTGCCTCATGCTGATATCATGTGGTTTTCACCTCCACGGTCTTAGAGAGATCCATTCTTGAACAATACATTCAGTGCCCCAGCAAGGTGAACAGTGAGTAAATAGAATGCCATACAAAGAATAGACCAGGGACTTGAAAAAGGATTTTCAAAGAGAAGACTCGGGTGACCAGGGGTGGGTGGCCGGCGCTGGTCAGACTTCAGTCAAGCTGGCAGCCAATTTCCTCCAACTGTGAATACTATCATATGTACATATGTCCAGAATCAGGCATTTCCTGCTCAAGTGCTGTCTCACTCTAGGAAATATTTTTGCTTCCGTGTGTTGCTTAGACTAGGAGGATCTTCTAAGCATAGCCAAAAATTAAATTACAGAGGCTAGGACTTGAGATAAAAGAGCCAGGTGGGCCAGGCACAGTAGCTCACGCCTCTAATACCAGCACTTTCGGAGGCCAAGGAGGGTGGATCATGAGGTCGAGAGATCGAGACCACCCTGGCTAACATGGTAATCTCTAACAAAAATCTCTACTTTAAAGTGATCTCTGCTTTAGTAGAGACAACATGGTGACTCTACTAAAAATAAAAAAAATTAGCTGGGCATGGTGGCACACACCTGTAGTCCCAGGTAATCAGAAGGCTGAAGCAGGAGAATCGCTTGAATGCGGGAGGCAGAGGTTGCAGTGAGCTGAGGTCACTGCACTCCAGCCTAGAGACAGAGCAAGACTCCATCTCAGAGAAAAAAAAAAAAAAAAAATTAAAAAGCCAGCTGACTGAGGCAGATGGTCTCTGAGGTCTCTATGAAGGTGCCTGGGCCTTGGTACAACATGCCCATGCAAGGGGTGGGTGGGGGGTGGGGGAAGCATCAGCAAGGATCCTTTAGCTCTATAGCATTATTTATTTGATCCAATTTGTGTATGTATTTTTCTCTGATTCTGGATTCTTGGAGCATCCGAAGAAGAGGTGGAAAAAGTCAGGGTGATAGATTTCCTGCTGGCGTTGCTGCAAATTATGAAAATGGAAAAATAATAAAGGCTTATACAATATGGCCCAGAATTACAAAAAGATTTTCAAAAAAGATCGTACTTTAAACATTTTTGTCAGGCCCCAAAGGAAACTTGTTTAATATGGTTTGGGTTTCAGTTTGAGATGTCACATTGACGGACTGATATGGGTGGGAAGCTTGGGACTGAGGGTTATTTTGTTATTTACTAACAAATGAGATTACTTCATCACAAGAAAATATCACAGCATTTCTTTTTAATATTTGGCTTGGAAAAAATTGGTAGGCCCTAGCAGATGACAAAGCCCGATTTCTCATGTTTTTGCAAAGATGTTATATATTGTTTTCCCTTTATTTTGAGACAGAAAGGAAACCATTCTAAGCTGCTCCCCATGTAGAATCTAAGCCTCTCACTGTCTCTGGGTGGTGCATTCTTTCCCTCACAGGGTGACATATGAATTATTAGAGCAAATTGGCTACTCAGATGTGGTATGATTCATGAGGTGCCCTGACCCTTTTGCTCTGAGGACACATCATTTCCTCCCCAGCTCCAGAATCTGCCCAGAATTCCATATGAAATGCACTGGAACCGATGTAGCTTCGGTTATAAACAGCACTACCTAGTCACCATGCTGTGTCAACTCTTGCGATTTAAAATGAACAGATGTTATTTTTGCTCCAAACTGGACTACAAAACATCTTTCTTCCTTTTTTTTTTTTTTTAATTTTACCTTTTCTTTGCCAGTTAAAATTATCACATACACAGTAATACCTGAGTTCATTGCCTGATAGAGTGCCAGAAATAACTAGTTCTGAAAAGATAGCATGGAAAGATCTCTGGAAAGTGAAAGATTTGAGTCAGCGATATTTAGAGACTGGACTCAGAAAGCCAGGGCTCTTGATTCAAAAGTTCTGATCACGAGAGCCCAACCTGGCAGTGTGGGCCGGAAGAGCTAGCTTGGATTGGAACTGCTGGCACCCATGCAGGCTTGTCGTGCAGTTTGTAGAGGCAGAAGTACAGGGGTCACTGAGATGCCTTTTAGTTTCTGAGTGACAGATCAATTTTCTTTTACCAGGTAACTCCCTGCTCCTGAATTCCGCCATGCAGCCAGATCTGACAGTGAGCCGGACATACAGCGGACCCATCTGTTTGCAGGACCCTCTGGACAAGGAGCTCATGACAGAGTCCTCACTCTTTAACCCTTTGTCCGACATCAAAGTCAAAGTCCAGAGCTCATTCATGGTTTCCCTGGGAGTGTCTGAGAGAGCTGAGTACCACGGCAAGAATCATTCCAGAACTTTTCCCCACGGAAACAACCACAGCTTTAGTACAATGCATCCCAGAAACAAAATGCCCTACATCCAAAATCTGTCATCACTCCCCACAAGGACAGAACTGAGGACAACTGGTGTCTTTGGCCACTTAGGGGGGCGCTTAGTAATGCCAAATACAGGTAGGTGGGTGGTAAGTGTGTGTGTGTTTGTGTTTTCCAACATTTGTTTAAACAAACATTTTATTTTTACACAGTTACTTCCCATCAGATTCATTTTAAGATGTTTACTGTCCCCTTGTCAGACCTGCAAACACCGTGGCTCTACTAGTCCACTTGATTTACACAGCAAACCAGAACCAATGCTGAGATTAGATTTTGCAATCTTCATCTCACCATGGATTGAACGCTCCCTCTGATTCCCTGTTAGAGTTGATAACTATATTTTCCTGAAAGGTTTGTAGTCCCCATGCTTTAAGCCCCTTTGGAGTGTATTTCCCAGACATGATCAGAAAGCACTGAAAACATTATCTGACATGACAGATCAGGGCCATGTTTGTACCTAGACATGGTTTATGATAATTCAGATAATTTAGTGAAACAACATCTCATCAGTAACTGATCTAATGAACACTCCATAGCCCTCTCTATATAGTGTTACTTTCTGATAGATGTGGGGTCATTGTGGAGCTGCTGTTCTAAATTCAAGCTTCAGTTCCAGGGCTATGTCAGTATAATGAATTCTCACATTTTTTTCCCCTTCTTTTGGCTAGAAAGAGGAGATTGTCCTGATGTTTTGACATGATACTTAAGGTATCCAGCCCAGATCACTTTTAAAATGATGTCCTTTCTATGGAGTAGTTTTCAGACCTAAGTGGTTGGTAGAGAAGGTCAATTTCTGCTCGGATTTCTAAGCAACAAGAATTAGGTAGTGCACTGAAGCAGGTAGTAATCTGTTGGATCTGTAGGTGTTTGTCAAACAATGGGCCAGCATTGAGTCAGAGCAATTATAGTCTAGACAGATGTCTCTCTAGGGTGGAGCTAACCAACCTCTTGAATCAAGCATTTTATCCCATAAATAAAATCTGTAATAGGACTAGTCTGATTCTGCCATTCCAGCTAAACTGACCCCTCTAGTAGCTTAGTGACTTGAGACTGAAACTCATTTCTGGTTGATGAATGTTGTCTTGTTCTCACCCAGATCAATTACTTCCTTAAAATCTTCATTTTAATACATATTTTACTCATCAAAATAGCCCTCAATGGCAATCCTAATTGAAAGGTTTTGTTTTTTAAACTTCTAATTCCCTAAAGCTTCCTTGGTCAGTATTTTAAGACATGGCAAGGATCTTGGTTCAAATGCGTATGAGTATCAATGTGGAATGTCTATGCACGATTTAATTCTTCCAGTTGATGACTGGCCCATAGGAAATTCAAAGGACTACCAATTAACTTTTCCTTAAGAATCCATAGACTAGACATGTGAGTCCTGAGGAAAGAAAAAGAATACAACCCTTGCCCTCTCGAAAGGAACAGGACATATCAGAATTATATAAAGTTTGGCAGGGTGTGGTGGCATGCACCTGTAGTCCCAGCTACTCAGAAAGTTGAGGTGGAGAAATCGCTTGAGTCTAGGAATTCGAGACCAGTGAGGGCAACATAGCAAGATGCGGTCTCTTAAAAAATGCTATAAAAACAAACAATCATATAAAGCTGTGCATTTATCTTACCTCTTTATAGCTCATGCGTGGCACTTAGAAGGCTCTCGGTAGTTATTGGTTGATAAATTGCCCATTAATCCTTCTCCCTCTTTGCATCCTCCTTTCTTAGTGTGTGTGCCTTTCGTTTATGCATGTGTAGAGGGAGTGCCATGATGAACCTGTTCATTGGCTGTGTTTGCTGTTTATCAACAAAAGCGAAATGATATCACGATGAGTCAGATTTATCTTCACCTTTGAGAAGCACTCATGTTGAAAACTGAAAGTTCTCATAGCATTGTCAGTGATTCCCAAACAATTTCTCCCTAAAATGGGGCATTTTCAAAGCTCCTGACAAGGAGTGTTGGACAAGATTGAAGCTGTTCACTGGGAATGAGTTTGATGTAAAATAACTGTGGGGAAGTAAAACATATGCTCTGTTATTTGCAGGAAATAAATGCAAAATATGCCCTAGGGAGCTAAAGTGTAAAGAAAGCAAGGCACTGAAACTAGATTGCTCCAATGCCTTCCATCCTAAATTTGTTGTATGGTGCCTGACAATGTTTTCTCCAAAAGGTTAGGGTGGTCTCCACACACTCTATTTTTTTTTTTTCCAAATATAAAACAGGAAGCTCAGACTGGTGCTTCTGTGATCATATTAAATAAAAGGTTGTTAGGGTAGCAGGTAGAGTATGGGGGTATTATATTTTTCTTTAATCAGAGATAACTGGTGAGGGACATATTGAAATGAATTCCACTTTAGGGAATCACAGGCATAAAGTTGTCCCACCATGCCTCCCATTCTTCACGATCTGTTAAGTTGCCACTCCCCATGTGCCTTTGTGTGTACTATTTCAGACTCCACGTAGTATTTGCATGTTTGGAAAGGAGAAGCGGGTGAAGTATGTCTGAAAGATAATAACACCATTTCTGATTGAGGAAGAGAGAAAATCATTTAAAGCTCCAGTGATCATATAGATTCAGGTTGAATTTAGGAGTATTCTGAACAATGTTTCAATCAAAACACAGAATTAAACTGACTTGAAAGGAATAAGATGTGATCTACACAGACAGCTCTTTCTCAAATGTCCTCACACATCTTTCTTCTATTATAAGAGTTGGCCATCAGGCTATGATGATCTATAGAAGCTAACATGTCTCAGAGCCTGGCTTTTTTACTAAGAATTTTGAATTCTTTTGTTTATATCTTCATGATGGGTTTTTTGGCTTCCTCCTCAAGGGCTGGCTTTGTGATAAGTGTAATGGATTTAATATTATTATTATTGCTTGATGATAGCCTCCTGTACTTCTAGTCTAAAGAATACAGACTGCATGTGTCATCATAATGACCTAGACAGCCTGAAAGCGCAGCAGCAGAGAGGAAGTTTTAGGTCAAACTAAGAGAAAGAATGTCTAGGGCATGTATTCAGGTTGACTTCCAAGCACACTGGATGTCCTGTGTATTGCAGTTTGCCTTTAGCAGCAGGAAGGGTTGTAATGGAGGCCCCTTCATTTGGCAACTGCATTTAAGGAAGAGTAGACAATGAAGGGAAGAGCCAGAGTGGAGGTCTCTAAGTGTGGCAATTATGTTTCTATTGACATTAAGGTCCAGAATATAAATGGATCTCCCTGTTGCGAAGCTGTAACCAAGATTTAAATCTGCCTTATTCTTAGTGCTAGTGAAAGATACTGATGATAACTCGCATGTTACTGAATAATGCTCATAAATGTGAATCACAAATAACGTGTTTTGCAACGAGGCTTACATTTTTTGATTCTGTAGCTGCTAACAGGCACATAGAAGGAGATTAGGAAACCCTATCATCTCTAGATTTAAATTATCAGCAACCTGAAAGTTTTCTGAATGATTATATTAGCTCTAATGAAAGGAAGAAAAGATGAGAGCTGCCTTACTCAAAGAATAGGAGGAAGCTTTGGGATTTTATTTTCTAAGATCTTACTATGTCTCTAGTTCATTTCTTTTTATAAACAAAAAGCTACAGTGAACCCCTGCCTTCCTTAGACTCTTCTGTCTTGGCCAAGGTGCAATATTTTCTTCACAGCATTCAAGAGGAAAGAGAGGACGTTTAAGATGCAGTGAGATGTGGCTTCCTGTGCCTTCCCTGCATTGTATGATTTTATGAAAGTAAGGCTGTTAGTTTTTCAATCTGACATTGACATGACTCTGGTTAAGTAACCTTTCCTCTTAACCCTTTCTAGCTTCTGGTTGCTGGAAAGGGTCATACTGGTTGTACAATCACCTGTAAGACTCCTAAGCACATCAGATGCTTTTTACTTTATCTTTTCCTTCACAAAATGCAATACCCTATTGAGTGCCACCTTCAACTTGCTTCCAGATGCACAATTGATAAGACAGTTTCATCCCAGGTTCTAGCATAGTATTAGATTGCTCACCCATCATTTCATATACTTTTTCACAAAACAATTAGTGACGAGATAGAAAAATACATTTTTAAATTTTGAAGCAGATTAAGTGATACATGGATAACCTCTTATGTTCTCTGATATGTTTAATATTGCCTGGTCATAGAATACTCAATCTTTTAAAAGAATTAGGAAATGCTGGGAAGACTTAAAAAAAAAAAAGACTAATTTCAGTACTCAGTTGAATAATATGCCCTTCTTTATGTCACCATTATAAAACAATGTTTTTCCTTTTATCATCCTGAACTTTAAATTTTCCAAGGATTGAGAGTTCATAAATTACCATGAGAAAGTAGCTCATTTTCCAGGTATCTGTATGGTGCTTAAGTGAGGGACTTCAAGATAATTGTAAAAATCTATGAATAATCTGTTGGCTTTTTTTGTTTTAGGAGTGAGCTTACTCATACCACATGGTGCCATCCCAGAGGAGAATTCGTGGGAGATTTATATGTCTATCAATCAAGGTGAACCCAGGTGAGAGACAGAGAATGACATAGTAAAGACAGTTTAGGCTGGGCACAGAGGCTCACGCCTGTAATTGGGAGGCTGAGGCAGACAGATCACTTGAGGGAAAGTGTTCAACACCAGCCTGGCCAACATGATGAAACCGTGCCTCTGTTAAAAATACAAAAAATATGTATATATAGTTGGGTGTGGTAGTGTATGCCTGTAATCCCAGCTACTCAGGAGGCTGGGGCTGGAGAATTACTTGAACCTGGAAGGCAGAGGTTGCAGTAAGCCGAGATCATGCCACTGTAATCCAGCTTGGGTGACAGACTGTCTAAAAAAAAAAAAAATAAAAAAAAAAAATAAGTATGGAATGGAACTTTTGTAGAAAATCTGAAACTATTAAGAGAATGAGACTTAGAGGTGTATAGATGAGATCATGGACTCTAGAAAGGACAAAAGTTGTTGCAAAACTGGCTGAAGTGAAAAAGTATATGACTCCACAGTTTCATAGTCACCAGTCTGTACATGGGAGACACCAAATGGAAAACAGTGAATTGTTAGACAGGTCAGTAGCAGGGCCACTCCATAAACCTTAACTGTCTCACGGAGTGTTCCTCTTAAAGGAAAATATCCCCAGAGGCACTCATTGGTCCTAAGTATGAGGTAAATACATACAATGATGGATTCCTAATTCTTTTAAGGTCAGAAGAAGACCTACTCTATATAGCCTAAGAGACAATTTCCTAGGCAATTTTTGGCAATGTAAAAATATGATCTGAAACTTCAATAGCTTTCAGGCTTGACAAATTTCAGCAGCACTAAATTCAATTACAGGAACAAATACAAATCTTGTCGCATTCTCTTTTAATGAAAGTAGTTGGTTATTTTCTTAGTGCAACTATAATATTTTTGGAAATGTTCTCTTCCTCCACATAAGATAAACCTAACTCCTCTTCAGAAAGCAATTTCTCTCATAAACTGGATCTGTACCTCTGGCACTTTTAGTCATAACATCTTGGTGATTTTAGAATAGATTTTTGTTGTTGTTAGCGGAGAACACATGAAAGAAAAACACTGGGAGGAAAAAAAGCCAGAGAAACAGATGGTTTCAACAGATTTTGATAGCTATTTCTATAAAAGTGTTTGTTGGTGCCCAGTGGTTTTAACTTTCTGCTGTACAGGGCTTGAGAGGCATGGAAGAAGAGGGTCGGCCAGTTGGTTGCTGGTGAGGCTGACTCTTAGAGGATGTGTGTGCAGGTTGTCCTATCTTGGAGTCTCATGTTACTATCTCAGTTGTCTAAAGCTAGATTCTTTCCTGATAGATCTGAAACAGTGCTGGTGTCTAAACATCTCCAATTGGCAAGTGGGGGAAACGGGGGATCAGAAAGTTTGGAGAGTTTACCCAAAACCTTAGGTTTGTCACTTAAGCAGACCTAATAATGGAGTACCCTGTAGGAAAGTCACCTCTTTTTTACTCATTGGGTTGATTTACTTAAGAAAGCAAACCTATTTGAATTTGTGGTTATGGCCTATTACATATATGCTTTAAAACATATCATGCTGCAAAAATCAAATAAGAGGTATAATTCAGTCTGCCTTCCCTGAATCACAGCTTCCTACACACTCCTAGTTATGCATCCCCCTCCCTTGGTTGTAGTTGATCCAGTGAGCCTGTATTGAGTTTATTCCTCTCAAGCCCAGCGTCTTCCACCTTATTACATGAGAGCCAACCTAGGGCAATGTCGCATTTTCCAAGGCACCTCATTTATAACTTACCTGCAATTTTAAAGAGAGAGGAATAGCTAAAAACTCGCAAGAGGCCAAAAATACCTCAAAAGACAGGTTGGCCTCACATGGTCACCCCTTGAATGCTTCAGAAGTTCCATGGTAACCAATTTGGTTTATCCTTCTGTGTCTTGTCTTCTCCTGTCCAAGAAGGCAGACAAAGACAGAAGGATCTTATCTAAGACTTCAGATCTGTGAGGTCTGCATTTTTCTCTCTACTAAACTGTGGGGGAAAAAAACCCACAAAATTACAGGAAGCTGCACTTTCCTTTTCGGGTAGCTGAAACCTTCCCAGATGTTATCTCTAAGGAAATGACCTGTCTCCGGGCTACAGGCCATTTACCTTCCTTGGCAAGCCTCACTACTTTTTGACAACTCAAAACTACTTAGAAAAACACTGAAAATAGCAAATACCTTTTTACTACTTTTTTTTAAGCTGGGGTGAATTATTTCATCTCTGCAAGGAAACTGCTTGGGTCTGAGTTCTTCAGCTTTTAAACTTGTGATTAATCAGAAAAAGGTCATTGGGTCATCTTTTCTTTGTAATAGCCCTTGAAAACCCATTTTCATTTTGTACTGTATGTCTGCCATCCTGAACTTGTGCTGAGAACAAGGCCTGTTTTCCTCAAAGTTCATGGAGCTGGAACACACTGCTCAGTTCCTTTCATCTTTACCTCTACAGCCACTGCAATCCCCTCACTCTTAGTTCATTGGTGTGAGAACTGGATTTATGGACTCTCCGTGACCTCCACACACACACACAGAGCACAGTAGGGTCTTCCAAACCACGTCTTTATGCTGTATTGCAATTCAAGTCTGCTCCATTTTTCCTATTGACTATGCATTCCTGTTGCCGACGTCCGAGTTGCAGCCCCAATATGGCAGGGTGATGATTTAATGGAAGTGGAACTGATATGTTTAATCAGGGCTCTGAATCCATTCTAAGGACTGGGTTAAAGAGGGGTAGAGGGCCGGGCGCGGCGGCTCATGCCTGTAATCCCAGCACTTTGGGAGGCTGAGGCAGGTGGATCACGAGGTCAAGAGATCGAGACCATCCTGGTCAACATGGTGAAACCCCATCTCTACTAAAAATACAAAAAATTAGCTGGGCATGGTGGCATGTGCCTGTAATCCCGGCTACTCAGGAGGCTGAGGCAGGAGAATTGCCTGAACCCAGGAGGCAGAGGTTGCAATGAGCTGAGATCGTGCCATTGTACTCCAGCCTGGGCAACAAGAGCAAAACTGTGTCTCAAAAAAAAAAAAAAAAAAAAAAAGAGGGGTAGAGGGGGTGAGGGTGGCTTCCTGCAGATGTCACTAAACTGAGTCTTAAAAGATGAATAGGAATTTACCAGACAAAGGAATAAGGTCTATCACTCAATGATTTCCACCCTCCAGAATACATTTTCCTGTAGTTTTCAGTAGAGGTTTGAGGGATAGAGGAGTCTAAACCCATTGATTTTTTTCCCCCCTTTAAAGTGACCCTAAGGTCAGAACATTGCATTCAACAGCTTCCTTCCAACTGTAGCCCAGGTCTTGCCACAGACAGAACCGAGAGTTGGTTTAATGCATTGTCCCATTTATAATAGGACATTTAGTGACATCCTAGGAACAGGGACTGGAGTGCCTGACACAAAGGCCATGGCGTGAAATTGGAGCTGTCAGAATTAGCCTGTTGATGAGAAGTCCTGGGGCTGCTCCTGGCTCAAGGATCTGTAAACCCTCCATGCTAGATGTGGCCTCCTCCCTTCACAGGGCTTTACCCCTTGTGCAAGGGAGGAAACCAGCAGTAATCACTCAAAAAAAAAAAAAAGGGCTTTAATTTGAAAATTTTGGGGCATTTCTTTTTATACATTTTATTGGGAATGGTTTCGAGGCAGTGAAATTTTGTCCTACACACGTTAGATCTTTTTTTTTTTTCCCCCTGAGATGCAGTCTTGCTGTGTTGCTCAGGCTGGAGTGCAGAGGTGCGATACCTGCTCACTGCAACCTCAGCCTCCCAAGTAACTGGGATTACAGGTGCCTGCCACCACACCCAGCTAATTTTTGTATTTTCAGTAGAGAGAGGGTTTCACCATGTTGGCCAGTCTGATCGTGAACGTCTGACATCAGGTGATACGCCAGCCTCGGTCTGCCAAAGTGCTGGGATTACAGGCATGAGCCAAAGGCTGTTTGTGGTGCCCAGCCTTTAGATCATTTTTATAAAATTATGGCATTCAAACAGGATTTAAAAAATCAACAATCTCATTTCAGAGGTTCTTGTCACCAATGTTACAATAAGAGAATGATACAGTTGTCACAGGAAGTTCCTACTACTCCTCTCCCAGCTCTCCTTTGGCAACCCTCCCCACCCCGTGGTTAAAGAGGAGAGAACTGGACCAGAAAATTATTATATGGGGCTTTCTTCTGAAAAGCAATAAAATGAAACCAAAGGCAAACATTCATTTATTTTTCCAATTACGCTGTCATGTGGATATTCCTGACCAAATTCTTAGACTAGCATCGAAAATGTTGTAAGTTGTGTTATTGAAGAATTTACAAAACGATACGCGTTTTTGAATTTGGGTTCAGCCCAGATGGAACATTTTAACAACTTCTATTTTGTCAGATGGTATGATCTGCCCAGTAGATACATTTGGGGGTAAGGATTGAGAAGGTAGAGATGGTGGTAATAGTAAACATTATCTTTTTTTAGGGTGCTTAGATGCTATAGTGGTTTTAATATCAAGGAATAAAATAAGAGCAAATACAAGGCTAGAAAGACAAAAAAAATCTAGCTCTGGAAAATAGGGAAGAAAAGATGGAACTTCATTCCCAGTAATGGGCTCACAAACACTGCAGTATAAGCTATTATTGTGGAGATGATTGTGTTTTTTCTTCCCTAGTATCAAAAATCACACACACGAAAACAAAATCATAAACGCACATATATACATACCTCATATTTCATGCAGACCTAAGCACTCAGAAATGTCCTTGGACTATTTGAGAGGACCTAATCTCCAGAAGGGTAAAAAGAGAGCAGGCATATATGTTTTATCAACGAGATTAAGAGATGGGTCAGCTGGCCATTCTCTTAATAAGAATGGAGTTTTTATGATACGAATCTGTTTGTAGTGAACTATTCTTTGTTATAGCAGACATTTGTGGCCATTCTAAACTACCCATCTCAGCAAAATATGAAACTGTATATGCTTTATTCTGGCACCTTTGAGGGCCTTGATTTTTCAGAAGGTAACACA